GAAATTTTAAAACTGGCACACGAATAGCGTGCCAGAATGCTTTCGAGGGCCATTTGTATGAAGCGGCTCGATGAACGAGGCTAAGCATATCCCATGTAAGAGAACACTACCGGTGTAGACTGGAATAATCAGACGACAAAGACTGCCATTCAATTCTGACTCTACGCATTATTCGCCAAACATAACTGATCAGAAGTTACATTAAAAACAGAAACGATTGAATGTAAATCAGTTTAAATTCTTTCATATTATATTATTATATTATATTCTAGGTCTCAAATATTAGCAATTTAGCTCCTTTAAGTTATAAAAAACTTGTAAAGAACATATAACTGCCAGTTCGTATATTGCAGTAATTCATCACAAGTGCGGATACAGATGGGTGTTTATTATCGTACAGACTTTAGTAATGATGATTGATTCTAGGCCGAAATTTAAATCGCTTAATTATCGATTTAGAGAGGATCAATTTGTCTGATGGCCGAATGGTTACCACGTGCGCGCTGTATCATAAGGCCTGTCATTGAGTGAACTGGCGTGGTTTCGATTCCCCGATTGAACGTGACAAGGAGTAGGGTCACCTGTGCGCGCTGTATCATAAAGTCTGTCATTGAGTCGACTGGCGTGGTTTCGAATCCCCGGTTGTACGTGACAAGGAGTAGAGTCGCCTGTCCAACCTCGTCGGTTTTCTCCGGGTCCTCCGGTTTCCTCCCACTGCTAAAGACTCCTACGCACAGGCGAATTATTGAATTAAAATTAAACCATATGTTAGTCCCGAAATGACCTGGTTTGTGTCGAGTGGACGTTAAACCCCATCTCTAAAATTTAAAGGAGCTAAATCGCCAATATTTGGGACCTAGAAATTGATCCAAATGGGTCGCAACGCATATAATAATGTAATCTGATTGTATATAAACTGATTTACATTCAATTGTTTCCGTTTTGACTCTAATTTCAAATAAGTTATGACGTCACCGTAAGACATGAGTTGTGGAATAATATGTCTAGTATAGCCTCGTTCTTTCTGGAAAACATAAATATACAATTCACTTTTGACAATATATTATATAAACTAAACAAAAACAATGACATGCCCAAATAATGTAGTCTACCTTTTAGCTTGAGGTTACCCGAGCACGAAATTAACTGAGGTGTAACGTCCTAACATGATCATTATTATAAATGATTATATATGTATACGATTACTTATCGTTGTACCGCTTATCCCATAAAATAACAGAATTAAGTCCATTACAGAACGGAATAAAACATTTTATCCCTAAATTTCACGGAACTTCTTTGTCATTCCACCGTATATTCCGTAAAATAACAGGATTATAGAAGGGAATAAAACATTTTATCCCTAAATTTCACGGAAAGTTCCTGTTAAATACTGAATATTCCACAGAAATATATAAAACACGTAATTTGAAGAAATAATTCATGCTTTTAACACAATTTTACCAAAAAATCCTTCGATTAAAAGAAAAAAGGTGTTAAACTACGGAATTCGGCCACATCAAAAATGGATCTTTTTTACAGTGTACCGTTCTGAACCGTTCTGCACACACAATTCCAACGTTCACGCAAATTGTTTTTCAAACCATTGGAACGACTTGACACTTCCCTTCGTCACTGACAAGGGGAAACCATGCCGGAAAATCCAGAGGAACTTTTGTCGGCTAACACCAGGAGTTAATCCGAGGCCTGGAGCGAACCCGAGACCTCTTAGCGATCCAACACCTAATTATGTTCCCGATGATATGGTAGCTACAGGTCATACATAATTCTATGGAATACAATTACTGCTTATTACTGAGCGACATTTCGACTAGCTTCTTTAGTTATTATCAAGCTTTAGTTATATGGAAGCTGTTCACATAAAGCGGCGCTGTATGTCTATTACATGAATAAATGAAATGAAATGGGGTTTAACGTCTAGGGGTTTAACGTCTAGGCGGGTCAAACGACGTTTAAATGGTGTCGTACGTAGAACAAATTGCAACAAAAGGTTTTTTGTTTTCTATTGACTCATTATAATGTCCTAATATTATAATGTTCTTCCTATATATTTTTTTTATTTATCTATATATGGCAGTATTAGGTTACAGAAAGAGTACACTAATAATTATCTTGCAAAATTTCTAGAATAATTTTCTTCTGTACATTAATATTTTATTATTTTTGAGAGACAACTGTCGCGTTGTCTGTCGGGTTATGCAAAAGGCAAGATTTTAAATGTCATCTATCAGCCACTATATTATAAATGTTACCCGAATGAGCGTTAGATCCTGTACTACGTAACATATTATGTGAAATGTCACAATTAAAACTAGATTTACAAAATCAAAACTGAATGTACAAAAAATTAAAAATGAATTTACAAAATTAAAATTTATTCTACAGAATTAGAAATAACAAGAGGTTGCTATGCAATGAAATTAAATGAAATGAAATGGGGTTTAACGTCTTACTGTTCTGCCCCTTTACTGGGTTAATGAAGACGGGCATACGCCCACCCGATTAGATTTTATTACATACTTCGAGAAGGTATTTGTTAAGTAATTAAACCTTCTAGTAGTTTATCGAGGGCTGGCCGTCCTTACCGCACGGTACAAATATTATCACCACTAGAAGCAACAAATTCCAGAACAAGTCAGAACTCATACCAAAATGGCCGTTTTATACAAATGAGTATTTAGGGGAATACTAACCCGAACCCTAACCCTAACCCTTTTAAGAGAAGTAAAAACTAAATTAGACCCAAGTTCAGTCTTTAAAAAAGGGTTAGGGTTAGGGTTCGGGTTAGTTATTACCAAAATTGTCATTTATATAGAGCGGCCATTTTGGCCTCCGGAAGCACCCGAACCTCGATAAACTACTAGAAGGTTTTATTTGTACCGTGCGGTAAGGACGGCCAGCCCTCGATAAACTACTAGAACGTTTTATTACTCAACAAATACCTTCTCGAAGTATGTAATAAAATCTAATCGGGTGATACGCCATACAGAGTGCCATGAGGGAAATTTTGCCTGGGTAGCGGCACTATGACCTACTCTTATATCAAATTCCAACTGCCAAGGGATCAATTACGCACGCCAATGTGTACACAGGACCTCGGATTTTCGTACCATCCGAACGACTAAACCCTCCGCCATGCACCATTGACAAGGTGAAACCACCTCGGAAAATCCCGATGAACTTTCTCGGCCAATGCAGGGATCGAACACGCGACCTCCAGGCTATTGAGCCAACGTCTTACCCACTTAGCCGCCGTGGCTCCGGTTACCATGTAAGATACGCCCACATTGTGCAGTATTTGGATGGAAAAGGTGACCTCTGAATGGTCTACAACATTGGTATACGTATAACATGCTTTTCCAACATCTACGTGCAGGGGAGAGGTTATTGTGACGGGCAGTTTCGGTCCAACTTTCACGGTATTCAAAGTCATCCATGATTACGGTGATTAATTTGAAAGGGTTTTGAAATCAACAATAATAATTTTAAAAAAAAAGCGTCCTCTAGAGTGTCCACAATCAGGGGGCAATAATCCATGAACTTACGTGCCAATATCTAAATGAACCGAGATCGTGGGGATATAAACATAAATGTTGCGGTACGTAAAAATCAGATAAAAATTGTGACCTGTAGATTGTCTACAAACTAACGTAAACAAATTATGGTGACAGCAGAATATGTCCACATAAGAACTGTGGGCGTATAAAAATAAAAAAATATTTTTCAAAATTAAAAGTAAATAGGAAAACAAAAAATAGTTCGTATTTCAGCAAATTTCGGGATACAGACGACCAAAAAAAAGAAAAGAACAAAAAAAAAAAAAAAATATATGGAAAGTTTGACGACCGCAAATCGTGATAGTGGGAACCCAGGATTAAGACGATTGTATTAACATCTTCTATTTCTATGTTACTATTGTATCACCTCACTAGTATACAGGAATAAAATTAACAGTCAGAACTTTTATGCTCCTTAACGTCGTCACATGTGATAAAAATAAAAATAGATTTTTGAGTAACACCCTTGTTGAATAAGCATACCAATATATAATAAAATAATATAAAGATGACGGTGTGTGATATTGTATTCGTATATATGACATCAATGATAAATAAATTCATTTTTTATACATTTGAATCATGACGTGGCTTTTAATTATTTTAATAACCAGAAGCCTTTTACGAAATCCAACTCCATGCCGGCCTGAATTCTATGGTAGGGTATCGCTGCCAATATTAAATGCTCTGCGACAATGTCGTTTCCATTGATTATATGTAAAAAGTACAATGTACAAAGTCCTAATACCGATATTGATAAAGTCAAAATACCTCTAAGGCAAGAGTTAAATGTAAAACGTCAAATGTTAAGTGTTAAATGACAAATATTTTGTGGGAAAATGCTTTTTTGACATGTCTACATTTTACATTTCTCTCATTACATTTTACATTTGCGTTCTGCCACATCCCATTTGTCCTTCACGCTTTCTATATAGCAACTTTCGCACAACATCAACTTGCATATACAAATGTAGGATATCACGTGACTTATCAACATATACGGAAACCTGGCACACTATAGCAGAGCATTTACTATTGGCAGCGATACCCTTCCATAGAATTCCAACCATCAAATCAGACTGTTGCAGCTGCATTCACAAATAATATTCGATGCCCGAAAATGTCGCACAAAGTAGAGTGGCTTCAAACTATGTTTTAATCCGTAGTAAATTCAGTACAAATCCGCGGTAATCAATTAACAGAAAGGTAAAATTAGTGTTTTATTAGATTCAGTCACTTAATCTGCCTCGACCGCTTATGTATATATTTCAGTTTCCGTTTATACAGTAACGAATATACTAGTATATACTTGTATATACAAGCAACTGACTTGTTCCTAACTTCTCTGTAGCAAGAGCAGATTTTTTTTGCATATTATCGTTATTCCGTATACACGTAGTAGACAATGACAAAACGTCTTACCTTGTGAAATGGATTAAGGTTTTGGCGACTGTGATACGATACGATACGACTGTATTTCTTTCTTTACCTCACATTTCATCCAAACTAAGAGTCCCCAGAATAGACAATTGTCTGTACCGTAGCTGTTGTATAAGTGCTGGCTACCGATAGATAATAAGACAAACCATGCGACGACAATCCATCCGTCATCAAGCATCAGTGCATACATAGACAGTTATAGACCTTAGGGTATTTAAAGGAAACATACCACTACATCTCCCTATCTAGGATTTACAAATCAACAAAAAGCATACGTCATGTACTTGTATGACTGATGGGCTGTACCATAATGCAATATGGATAATTATGTATATTACACCTTTAAATCTGACAAGTAAACTAAATAAGACAGACACAAAATCATGGTTGGATGGATGAAAATGTCATTTATTAAACATGCATTATGCAAGAGCAAAATCTGCTTATTACAAGTCTTTCTTTAGGCCTGAAATGTTATCTAAATTATCAATTAGACATTAATTAACTTATCCAGACCATAATAAACTCTCGATGTCAAGGCTAGCCTTCGATGTTGGCTGGATTAGATTCCTATATGCCGCTAACGGCCGTTGATAATTAAATCAACAAAAGTGGATAATCGAGACTATGCTGTTTATATTAATGATTTTAGTAATGATGACCGAGCCTACGCAAAAATTTCACCCGCTTCTTTCTCGACTCATAGTGGATCAAATTGACTGAAATTTTCAGCAAATTACCTTTACACTATCTAGTTTTTACCTATTATAGCGAGAACTGCCATCTCTTTATCTAATCTCCCATAATGTATCTTTAATGTAAATCATGCATATAAATTTCACAAAGATCGGGTGATAACGTTTGGCTTTAGAGCGTTCACAAGGATCAATAAAGTGAAACAAGGGTCATAACTCTAGACGTAATAAACAGAAATTGCTGAAATTCAATAGGCTTCTTCGTTTCACTAATCTAAATAATGCATATACATTTCACAAAGATTGGGTGATAACCTTTAGCGTTGGAGCGTTCACAAGGTTCAATAAAGTGAAACAAGGACCATAACTCTAGACGTAATACACAGAAATTATTGAATGTGAGCGTATAAAAATGAAATGCTAGGTATACTTTATTTACTACCAACAGCCATATCAAAGACATATTTGTGTTAAACTATTTTTGACAGATACATATTACAGAGGCTTGTCACATTTCCCATCCATTACGGTAATGTATTCACTACGTGTTCATCTGTTAGCCATTGTACAATTTATAATCTTAAATCAGTCATGCATATCGCCTGACAAAATTGCAAAATAAAAACAACTCATTATCACCCACAGTCTTCGACATTGAAAACACGACTTATTTGTCAATTTAAATCAACATTGATGTTGTAATCTTACCGTGAAAAGTTGGGCTTCTGATATCCAATATTTAAGACAAATTGGAAATTTTAAAACTGGCACACGAATAGCGTGCCAGAATGCTTTCGAGGGCCATTTGTATGAAGCGGCTCGATGAACGAGGCTAAGCATATCCCATGTAAGAGAACACTACCGGTGTAGACTGGAATAATCAGACGACAAAGACTGCCATTCAATTCTGACTCTACGCATTATTCGCCAAACATAACTGATCAGAAGTTACATTAAAAACAGAAACGATTGAATGTAAATCAGTTTAAATTCTTTCATATTATATTATTATATGTGTTGCGACCCATTTGTGTCCATTTCTAGGTCTCAAATATAAGCAATTTATCTCCTTTAAGTTATAAAAAACTTGTAAAGAACATATAACTGCCAGTTCGTATATTGCAGTAATTCATCACAAGTGCGGATACAGATGGGTGTTTATTATCGTACAGACTTTAGTAATGATGATTGATTCTAGGCCGAAATTTAAATCGCTTAATTATCGATTTAGAGAGGATCAATTTGTCTGATGGCCGAATGGTTACCACGTGCGCGCTGTATCATAAGGCCTGTCATTGAGTGAACTGGCGTGGTTTCGATTCCCCGATTGAACGTGACAAGGAGTAGGGTCGCCTGTCCAATCTCGTTGGTTTTCTCCGGGTCCTCCGGTTTCCTCCCACTGCTAAAGACCCCTACGCACAGGCGAATTATTGAATTAAAATTAAACCATATGTTAGTCCCGAAATGACCTAGTTTGTGTCGAGTGTACGTTAAACCCCATCTCTAAAATTTAAAGGAGCTAAATCGTCAATATTTGGGACCTAGAAATTGATCCAAATGGGTATATAATGTAATAATGTAATCCGATTGTATATAAACTGATTAACATTCAATTGTTTCCGTTTTGACTCTAATTTCAAATAAGTTATGCCCAGCGAAATACGGCATAAGTCTGGTTATTCCAGTCTATTGCGCATGCTCGCCAGATAGAATATGACGTCACCGTAAGACATGAGTTGTGGAATAATATGTCTAGTATAGCCTCGTTCTTTCTGGTCAATTGTTACAAGTAAGACTGAAACGCACTATGGTACACGATTCGTGTACCAATGGTAAACTGTTTATTTTATCTTAAATATTGGATATTAGAAGCCTACCTTTTCCCGGCAAGATTACAACATCAATGTTGATTTGAATTGACAAATAATTCGTGTTTTCAACGTGTAAGACATTGGATGATACTGAGTTAGAAATTTAGCTACTTTAACTACTGTTTCAAGACCATCTGGTCGTTTATACAATCTGCTTTTATATACTAACTTTGCTTGATCTGGTGGAAAACATAAATATACAATTCACTTTTGACAATATATTATATAAACTAAACAAAAACAATGACATGCCCAAATAATGTAGTCTACCTTTTAGCTTGAGGTTACCCGAGCACGAAATTAACTGAGGTGTAACATCCTACCGTTCTGAACCGTTCTGCACACACAATTCCAACGTTCACGCAAATTGTTTTTCGTACCATTGGAACGACTTGACACTTCCCTTTGTCACTGACAAGGGGAAACCATGCCGGAAAATCCAGAGGAACTTTTGTCGGCTAACACCAGGAGTTAATCCGAGGCCTGGAGCGAACCCGAGACCTCTTAGCGATCCAACACCTGATTATGTTCCCGATGATATGGTAGCTATAGGTCATAATTCTATGGAATACAATTACTGCTTATTACTGAGCGACATTTCGACTAGCTTCTTTAGTTATTATCAAGCTTTAGTTATATGGAAGCTGTTCACATAAAGCGGCGCTGTATGTCTATTACATGAATAAATGAAATGAAATGGGGTTTAACGTCTAGGGGTTTAACGTCTAGGCGGGTCAAACGACGGTTAAATGGTGTCGTACGTAGAACAAATTGCAACAAAAGGTTTTTTGTTTTCTATTGACTCATTATAATGTCCTAATATTATAATGTTCTTCCTATATATTTTTTTTATTTATCTATATATGGCAGTATTAGGTTACAGAAAGAGTACACTAATAATTATCTTGCAAAATTTCTAGAATAATTTTCTTCTGTACATTAATATTTTATTATTTTTGAGAGACAACTGTCGCGTTGTCTGTCGGGTTATGCAAAAGGCAAGATTTTAAATGTCATCTATCAGCCACTATATTATAAATGTTACCCGAATGAGCGTTAGATCCTGTACTACGTAACATATTATGTGAAATGTCACAATTAAAACTAGATTTACAAAATCAAAACTGAATGTACAAAAAATTAAAAATGAATTTACAAAATTAAAATTTATTCTACAAAATTAGAAATAACAAGAGGTTGCTATGCAATGAAATTAAATGAAATGAAATGGGGTTTAACGTCTTACTGTTTTGCCCCTTTACTGGGTTAATGAAGACGGGCATACGCCCACCCGATTAGATTTTATTACATACTTCGAGAAGGTATTTGTTGAGTAATAAAACCTTCTAGTAGTTTATCGAGGGCTGGCCGTCCTTACCGCACGGTACAAATATTATCACTACTAGAAGCAACAAATTCCAGAACAAGTCAGTACTCATACCAAAATGGCCGCTTTTTACAAATGAGTATTTAGGGGAATACTAACCCGAACCCTAACCCTAACCCTTTTAAGAGAAGTAAAAACTAAATTAGACCCAAGTTCAGTCTTTTAAAAAGGGTTAGGGTTAGGGTTCGGGTTAGTTATTACCAAAATTGTCATTTATATAGAGCGGTCATTTTGGCCTCCGGAAGCACCCGAACCTCGATAAACTACTAGAAGGTTTTATTTGTACCGTGCGGTAAGGACGGCCAGCCCTCGATAAACTACTAGAACGTTTTATTACTCAACAAATACCTTCTCGAAGTATGTAATAAAATCTAATCGGGTGATACGCCATACAGAGTACCATGAGGGAAATTTTGCCTGGGTAGCGGCACTATGACCTACTCTTATATCAAATTTCAACTGCCAAGGGATCAATTACGCACGCCAATGTGTACACAGGACCTCGGATTTTCGTACCATCCGAACGACTAAACCCTCCGCCATGCACCATTGACAAGGTGAAACCACCTCGGAAAATCCCGATGAACTTTCTCGGCCAATGCAGGGATCGAACACGCGACCTCCAGGCTATTGAGCCAACGTCTTACCCACTTAGCCGCCGTGGCTCCGGTTACCATGTAAGATACGCCCACATTGTGCAGTATTTGGATGGAAAAGGTGACCTCTGAATGGTCTACAACATTGGTATACGTATAACATGCTTTTCCAACATCTACGTGCAGGGGAGAGGTTATTGTGTCGGGCAGTTTCGGTCCAACTTTCACGGTATTCAAAGTCATCCATGATTACGGTGATTAATTTGAAAGGGTTTTGAAATCAACAATAATAATTTTTTAAAAAAAGCGTCCTCTAGAGTGTCCACAATCAGGGGGCAATAATCCATGAACTTACGTGCCAATATCTAAATGAACTGAGATCGTGGGGATATAAACATAAATGTTGCGGTACGTAAAAATCAGATAAAAATTGTGACCTGTAGATTGTCTACAAACTAACGTAAACAAATTATGGTGACAGCAGAATATGTCCACATAAGAACTGTGGGCGTATAAAAATAAAAAAATATTTTTCAAAATTAAAAGTAAATAGGAAAACAAAAAATA